CTTCCTTATTACTTTAATAAGGAAGTACATTGGTACGGGGGGGTCTTGGGGGGGTCTTGGGGGGGGCTTATTTTTGGTACGGTACGATGGTACGTACAGTTGGTACAGTGGTACAGTACAATGGTACAAACTATTGGTACAGTTGGTGCAGTTGTTGGTACGATTGTATGGTACGCTTCATATGATTGGTGGTGCAATGAGTATTGACAATGTGATGTATTCAATAACTTATCAATAGTTATATTCAATCATAATCATATATATGTATATACAAATCCGCTATTCAAATTCAGCCAGGAAACAATAAATGCATGAAGACGTGTTGGCTCCTTCTGCAGAAGATTATCAAAGCCAATGATGTCAGGTGGCGAGCAATCAGCTGCCCATCCTCCAACATTGAAGACCTTAGGCTTAGGCTTAGGGTTCTTGAATATCAGCAGCATTGGTGCAGAATCTGGTTCATTTGTGAGCCATTTGCATGTCCTAGACCTAGAGATTCAAAAAATTCTCAGGGTAGGACATTGATGCAAATCTTGCATACTAAGCCTTTTGGCTTACCCTGTTTGCCATCAGCCCAGCTGATGATCGGATCCCAAGCTGGAAAGATGCCCGGCAAAGGTGAAGGTTGCCAGGAATAGCACCGACAGTATTTACACCGTTTGACCTTGTATCCTGCTGGAGGAGTGAAGTCTGGATGACAAGCAGTATCCACAGATGCTGAACCAGCAGCTACTGATGCAGTTTCAGCCGCCATCATGATTCCAACGTGTTCCTTCAAACTGTTTGTGATCAAAATCCGAACTTAGCGGATTCTGGAATTCCTCTTGCTGGCTTTTGGCCCTAAACCAAAGCCACAGAGATGTTCAATACCAAAATGCATTCATAAGTGATGAAGTTGAATGCAAAGCAGCAAAAGCATATCTTCTCAATTGTATTTGCAATTATATATTAAAATCTATATATATTATGTTATGTTTATTAGCTAACTATATATGATATGTTGTAGATAAAATGAATAGCACATGACTCGACTAGCGGAATGATAAATGCCAACAGCACAACAATAACACAAAGCACTGTCAGTGTTTTCACGCATGTTTCCTCGTCTCTTGTCCCCTGTCAACTCAACACCCTTGTGCACTCAATGAGAGTATGACTGTCTATCGTGAAACAGACACTTCATACCACGATTGAGACATGTCAAATGTCATTCATTCTGAATTATCATGGGCATCGTCTGCTGGAGAAGTCACAATGGAATTGAACCTTAGAAAATTAAAAGCAAAGTAACAAGGTCAAAGTTAAAGGCACGAGACACACACAATGAATCACAAAGTCATGGCTGAATGCCACAGATGCTTACAACGGAAATGTACAATGCCTAATTTCAAAGAAACAACAAATTGTTTAACAAGGCACATTGCTACATGCTTGTGTCCATCTTCTCTGGAAGGATAGCGTAGCCCTGCTTCCAAGTATTTAACGATCAAAGGAGTAGCGCCAAATGGTAGTTTCCGTATGAGAACAATGCGAGAGCACTTCTTGTGCAGACGACATGCAACGCACACTGCATGTTGGCTGGTTCCGGATTTCATCTCGGACATCCTACCTCAGTGTTTTGTTTGTAATGGCATTGGTAAGTCTTAGTTTGAGCTTTTTGTTCACAGTCTCAACTGGCTCAATTACATTAACTATCACCAGAAACATTTAAAGGAAAAGGGCGATTGAAGACTCCAGCCAGATCACCAAGCTCAATAGTTTTCCCTGAAGACATAACAGCCACAACTGTTTGGTTCGTTTCACCTTGCAAGTATGTTCGAACTACCTTCTGGTCGGTTGATGAAGAAGCAGGCGTCACAGTAGGCTCGGATTTGGGCTTCTTACTCGATGATGAAGAAGGTTTGTCTTTTTTTGATAACACTTGATGCTTGCTTTGAGGCTTTTTGATTGGTGCTTCATAGACTCCATACCTTTGGTCTACAGCAGCCTTCCATTCAGTCTCAAGTTCGTCATCTGCCTCCACCCCAGCATCTACATCAGAATCACTGCCGCCTGAGTCATGCTCTATAGCAGCAGCTTCATATTTGTGGAAAGACGACACGCCAAGCTGATGTAGAACCAGATCTGAAGATGATAGTCCTCAGGTTTGTCGGCGAAACTAATTTACATCATTAAAACTGAAACAGAAACACTCAAAAACTCCAAAAACAACAATTAAAAAAAAACATATCTTATTACATCTTGATTCAGGATTCCTTATTAGACAATTGAGCCAACAATAAATAATATCTGATAACATTTTTAATAATCATTTCTTTTACTATAGTTGGGTTGTTCAACACATATTTCTTTGTACTTCAACGGTGTAAAGTAAAGTATTAATTAAATATAGTAGAGTTTCCAGAGTCAGTCTTGTTTCCAACAGGTCGATGGTGTGTCTTCTTCGTGTTTGCATTGCGTTTGGTCTTCTCACTGTTTGAATTCATCTTTTTCAGAATGTGTGTGACCATTGCCACAGCTGATGCATCTGGATCTGCATCTTTACTTGAAGCTCCACCTTGCAAACAAAAGAGTTCATCCAAATCGTTGCAGTCAGTATTGTCCAATGTAGTCTTGACAGACTCATGCGTGGAATCCAAGACCAATTCGATATCACCACGTCTGGGATGTACCAATTTGTATTGCCAAAACACTTGAACTGAAATACCAGGCTTGTACATTTGGCTGAACCAGACTGCAAACTCATTTGTGGTATCGCAAACTGGACGGTGATAGCATCCAGATTCCTGATGAAACATCAAGCAGCAATGCAAAGATTGGTCGACATCCTTCCTGACGGTACAGCTGATCCAATCAACCTCTTGAGGTTTGAATGATATCCTGCATGCCAAAAACCCATAGATGTTGTCATCTATTGATACAATCATCACAGGAAAGAACGACGTGGGACCAGGACCAAGAAACCAATTCTTGCCGAGCTTGACGGTTCTACGTTTTGCCATCGACCTGACAATGGACTTGACCAAATACACAGCTTGTTGGAAAGCTTCTGATTTGCGAATGTTTGATCTACAGTATCGTCCACAAAGCTGTTGACATGAGTGTGAGATCAAATTTTGCATGTTCTCATCCTCAGTGTCAATATCAAAGTTCAGGTCTTGGGAGATAGAGCAAACTGAACTATGCTCATGTCGAAGTTGCTGCTGACTCCGCTTTACGAATCCGCATGTGTGCGAAGCATGCTCCACTATGGTCTCAGACAAACCATACTCTTGACTGCCAAAACCATGCAAACCACGGCCCGTTTGAAGAAGGAATTTGATTGTTTTGATTTCAGAGTCCTCCAAGATAGAGTTCAAATCAGTCAAGGCAAGTTGTACCTGCTTCCCTGCTTGATCTGTTGAGAACGGCGTGAGGCTGTGTTGATGGCCATAGTCAACCAGAGCATGTGGTTTGACCAGAGAAGGAACATCTTCATTAGCCATATCCTCTGGAAAGAGCATACCGATCCTCAAAGATGTGTTCAGAATAGATTGTTGTTCATGTTCTATTCGCTTGTTCACTTGCTGTTGTGCCCTGAATCCTTCTGATTGATCCATCTGAATGCTCTCTCGTTTTCGCTTAGCCTGTAGATTCGCTTCCTGTGCTTGTTGAGACAATGACTGCCTCAGCTGACTCATCTCAACCGTATCACTATTCCATTCATCCTTGGCGAGCTTGAACAAAGTCTGGCGCTGATCAAACCAGTGCTTGGTTGAGTCTGCTGATCTTGCCTGTCGGTGCTCGGCGTACTTGAGCTTGAGGAATTCGGTGAACCCAGTCTTGCGGCTCACTTGTCCTGGATGATGTCTTAAGCACTAAGCTCCAATGCCAATAGAGACAATCACATAAACTCAAAAAACACTTAAATTATAGATTGTTGATAATAACCCTTGACTTTATGAAGCAAATCAAACTGAACCATACCACAAGGCCTGCACCATTAGTCCATTAGTTAGTTGATCATTAACACTGACGTGACCACAACAACAATTTTCTTTGGTATTCCTGAAACGTTGTTGTGAGGTGATTCACTTTGACGTAGCTGATGTTCCATTCGGCTGTGAATCATCTTGATTTCAGAGACAACATGCTTGGCAGTCATGCTGGGAATAGTATGACTTCTACCCCTCATTGCCATTCGACTTGAAGATGCACGAGCAAAGTTT